ATATATATATACTGTATGACCTTTAGTTAGCAGAATTTCCCCTCTCCCTGTGAGTTCTAGAACGTAACCCCTAAAACGTGATCCCCGTGATATTCGAAGGAATGCTGTCTGTCCATATAATTATAATATACCGATATTGGAGATACAACCATTCTGCACGTCAGAAACACTACCGTTATTGCAGGCCTGGGGAAATAGTTGGTGTTGGATGACAAAGTGCTCATTGTGGGGCGTATCCTGTTTCTGTTGACACGGATTTCAGTTGCTCTCAAAAGGCGCGATGTTTGAAGTAGCAAAAACGGAATCAATATTTACTCATCCATTACGATATGACATTTTACATCGCTAGTCATCAATGAAGTAAGTATTGAAATCAAGTACTCTAAAAAGATATTTTTTTAGAAAAAAAACATGAAAACGAGATAACACAGCTGCTACTGAGAGCTGAAAAAACGCCTTTTTAAAATTTTGGCACCAACATTAAATTTTTGTTATTAGCTAAGTCGAAAGCCTGATCAGTTAACCTACTTGTGTGAAAAAATCAAAGTGAAACTGCGACTAGTTCTTAAATATATTTGAAATCAAATTTGGTTGAACTCTATTTTCCAATTTTACACTGACAAAAAAAGAATTTTTCCTTTTTCTCGAAACTGCTGTGAATTTTTTATTTAAAAAAAAAAAAAAAGGTACGGAATCCCAGCCACATAAGGTGAATAGAGTTTTATTTTTCCAATCTGAATATCCTATGTCGATGTGTTATTGTTAGAGACTTGTACTATTTCATATACTATGTAGGGCATTGTCATGGCCGCTAATCTTTGCTCTCTCTCTCTCTCTCTCTCTCTCTCTCTCTCTCTCTCTCTCTCTCTCTCTCTCTCTTTATATCTCTCTCTATCTCTCTCTCTTTCTCTCGCTCTCTTTCATCTTTCTCTCTGTCTATCTAATTATCTATCTATATATCTATCTATCTATCTATCTATCTATCTATCTATCTATCTATCTATCTATCTATCTATCTATCTATCTATTTGGTGTAGATATATAATTTCAGACTAAAATAACTTTCATTTTTAAAAAATTTAATTATTCAATTTTGTTCTATACTTCAATTTTC